TTACGGGAAATTACTAGTAAATATTAAATATTATTCTAACATTACCTTTTATATGACTCCCCTTGAGAAAGTTAAAATGCTATTAATATATAATGAATATTTAGATAGTGTTCCGTATTTTATGTCTTTGTAAAAAAATATATAAGTGAATAAATTAGTAAAATTAAACAGGTAATATATTATAAAAGTTTAGCCAAGATTCTATTAATTCTTTAATTTTCTCGTAATTGTAAAATAAACATTTTTTATCACAGTTTTCAATTTAAAAGATTTATACAAAATTTTCTCTAGTACAGTAAAAGTTCATTCTCTGAAATTATTTATTTATATTACTCTATTAGGCTGCGTGTATATAAAATTTAATTAGGTATGTATAAATTAAATTTGTTTCAAATGCACATAAAATATATTTTATTAATATAATTAGCATATTTGGCACAATATATGCCAACATTATTCAAGAATCGTGTTTTCAGACTCAGGGGGACCCAAAATGTGGAGAATTATCAAAATCTCAACATCAATTTTTTTCACAATCTGTATACTTCTTTACTTGCAGTACAAGGAAGTAAACAATTATAGTTCTACACTCAAAAGATAAAATACTAGCTTTTTTTATTTCATACTGTAATGGTAATATTATAAAAATAAATATTTAAAAATGTCTTGGTTACATATGCTGGATTTACTGGTAGCCACATCCTACTTCATTCTAAGGAGGAACTATTTATTTAACTAACTAATTTAACATAATAAGAGCCGCTTCTTTGACTTTTCTCTTTCTACCATCTGTTTCATTACATGACTCATCCCATTGTATTCTATTTTCATTATCCCATGCATGTTTACATATCTGTCAAATTCTCTATTTTTGATGTAAGATTGATGTTCATCTATTCTAATATGTAATGGTCTTGAAGTTTCCCCTAAATAAAAGTTTTCACATGGTATTTTCTAAATACAATTGTTCTTTCCTGTTCATTGCTAGGTTTGGTTTTGGATAAGATAGATCTCAATGTGTTTGTTGTTTTAAATATTGTTGAAACATTGAATTTACTTTTTATCCTTTTAAGTTTTTCTGATAATTCTTTTATATATGGTATTGTTAGTTTCCTCGAATTTTGTCGTGTGAACTTAGCAGGATTCCTTTCTGTTCCAGAAAGGTTAGTTATTTTGTTCCATTTCCTTTATTCTGGAAAATTCCTTACTTTTAATTGACATCGGATAATCATTTTTTACTAAAATAGATGTTAATAATTATTTTCCTTTTCGAAAACGAATTTTCATTAGAACAGACAATTTTATCTCTATTATATAATGATTTATTGACTCCCTTTTTAACATTTATGTTGTGGTTTGATTTATACTTTAGATATCCGTTCGTATGTGTTAGTTTTTTGTATACATGAGTCCCATATCCGTTTCCATTGTAAATTTCATTGACTCCTTACCTTACTTCTCTTACCTTTTATTTATATTGTGTCCAACACATCAAAATATTTCTAACATATTGTGGGCTTTAAATTTTGATTAGAAATGTTTATTTTGAATCTTCTATCAATATATTAGCTAATAATGAATTTAAGGCAGAGCCCAACAATTTTGTTTATAGACATCATTGTTTAGATGAAAATAAGTGTCAGTACATTTGTAGAAGTAGTAAGTACATTTGTGAATAGACTATTTATTTATATAAAAATTTACTTAGAAAATTAATATTACATTTACAAATCAATGTATGTACCAAATTATATTAACATTTAAAAAATATAGATAATTTTAATAAAATTTGTGATTTTTTTCTTTTTTATACCTCCCAATATATGTAATCCTCATTCAAACACTGAATTATACTTATCACAAAAAAACTAAATTTGCAGTTATCATTTATACTTTCATCAACAGCTCAAAATATATTTTTCACATGAGATTTATACCTACCTTAGTTAAAGTAACAAATAAGTAAAAAGTAAGTAATACTACGCCAGGAATTCATCAATGTGATAATAAATCATTAATAAAAATACAATTTGAAGTATTTAACACCTAATATATTGTCAAATTTACATTTAAATTACATACTAAACATTTAACAGTGAAGCAACATAATTTCTGCAGTTATGTCCTACATTATCCTGTTCACCTTCAATAATAACATCATCAACTTGAGTATCAGCTTCACTGTTCACTTGTTCATCTAATAATACTTCACTGTCAATACAAATTAATATTATGTAGCACACAAAAGGCCCTAATAAAATGACAAATAAAAGTAATATTTCTTGATTAGATGTGGTATAGTTGTCGAAATCTGTGCTTTAAGAGACCTATAGTGTGATCAATAAGGACTCTACAATGGCCAAGTTTTTATTGTAGTTTCTTTCAACTGGTCTCAAATTGCCAGTATCTTTATAAGGTGTTAAAAGGTTTCTCAGACATGGATACGCACTATCTCCTAATATTACCCAGTCCTTACACAGCTCTGCTAAGTTCTGACCCAAATCACTATTGCGAAAAACTCTAGCATCGTGCACACTATAAGGAAATCCAATCAATACATCCCTGATGTTTCTATTGTTGTCACATACCACTTGCATCTACAAAAAAAGTGTGGATATAATATGGAAATATTTGTTTCTAAAAAATTGATCTTAAAAAAAATAAATATTTAATTTTGGAAACTAAAATAAAGATGATACCAGTCTAATAGAAAGCAAGATATTATTCAGATTATGCATTAGGTATTGTAAACTTTCTTGATTACAAAAGCATAAATAAATTTGTAACAAAGGTGGCTAGTATGATTTTTTAAAATTAAATTTTAAATGATATTGCAAAATGGTTTTTCTAAAATACTGTTTAAAGTACAGCATAGAAAATAGTATACAACAAAAATGTTGTACTTGATAAATGTAGTGGTTTAAGTATACATATATAACTAAAAATTTTTACGAATTTTTGATTAAACTGTAATCATTAACAAATTTATCAAATAAAACATAATGAGACATTGCAGAGGTATAGCAAGTTTGAAGAAGGGAATACATGTTATTATTTCCATTACAATCAGCAAGTAGTCAACATACATAATTACCATTCTTTATTATAATTGAGAATTCATTCAAAATTTATGTACACTTCTATCATCAATATTATACAATAAGAGTCAAATATGTAAATATACCGTAAGTAATATGAATTAATAAGTGAGTACCTTACCTGAATGGAATTAAATTTCTTCCGATTCAAATACGAATCAGGATCCTCTTGAGGTGTATCAATTTTAATGTGTGTTCCATCGATGCAGCCTATAACACCAGGGAAATCCATTTCCTCAAAGTTTCTTCCAATAATTCTTGCTTCTTGGGTGGAAGGCCACACAATTACTTTTTCGGATAATTGTGAAAGAAAATACACAACCGAATTGACATATGTGTGTAGTGTACTTATTGATAGGTTAAATCTATCTGCAACATCTTTAAATGTTGCACCTTGGTTACTTGTGAACCATAAAAAAGCCAATAGACATTTTTCACTGTTAATCCTTTTAAAGCAAGTGCCTTTCTTGGGATAAAATTCTGAATGTTTAAAGTCAACTTTCAACGTTTGGACTACTTGTCTTGAAACTCTAAAAAAATGTAGACTAATTAGTTTAATATCAATATTTTAGATAATAAATACGAAAACAAACTCTTGCAGTCACAATACTTTTACTGATATTCATACTTTAGTTATAACACATGTACATAACTTACCTGAAATGCTGAAGAAACTGTCTGTCCGCATACTGAGGAACAGTTTGTTCAAAAAAATCTTCTTTTTTTGTGCTATCTTGAAGCAGTTCGGGCAAAAACACGTTAGCCACTATGTCAAGTCCATCTTCAATATTTGAAGATGATGATTCTGTGTCTGATTCCAATAGTAAATTTATTATTGGGTGCATTTTTAGTCACTCGAAATTTTAAGATCACTCGAAAATGACTGAAATTACTATTAATTAATACAAAAAACGACTACTACCTATCATTCAACAACAAGCAGACAAGCAGAAAAATATTCTTTATACTGTGTTATAACTGTCAATTTTAAAACGAACTGCGCACGCTTTAAAAAATCCGGAAATAATCAAGACCTTTTAACAAAAACCGAATTGATAGTTTTAAAACTGTCCACAAACAGTATCAGATTTTAACCCGAACACCAAACTTCGATTCTGAACAGTTTTCAGATAATCTGAAATAAACCCTAACACTTATATTTCTTCTGTGCAAACTCCTGACGGTTATCAAACAGTCAATGCAAAAACCCGAAAATACCTTTAGTTATTTATTATTTTTATAATGTGCTTTGAAAACAGTGGTACTCAGACGTACCGTCGGGACAAAAAAGGTTAACAAATTCATTACTTTCAGTAAATACAAGACGTTAGTCAGTTTTAAATTCTGCTTCGCAAGTGACATCCCACTGTGTGAGTAAAATGCATACAAAAACAATTAAGAGGTTTTCCACTATTTTTACTATCACATCCAGGATTATTTATCCAACATAATATTTGTGTAAGTGTTAAAATTATTTAAAATTTTTATGTGATGAAATGTAATTTTCTTCAAAAGTCCACCTTACTTTTTTACTTTTATAAAAGAGAGCGTCAGCAACCCAAACAAAAATTGTTGAAATAATAAGGTGAATCTTCCATTTGATAAAAATTAAATCTTTTCTTTTATAGTAACCAAATGTTGTTAAGAAATAGCTACGATTTGTGTAAATATATTCATGTATCGATGTTTGTTCTAAACACTTTGACTGCTCTCCCAAAATATATAAAACAATAAACAGTACATTACCGGTTCTCCGGGACCGATAGCTTGGTGCGGACACGATGCGTTACCAACTGTCGGGGACCGATAATGATGTAAAATATTTTATATGTATGACAACTGAATCTTAAAGCATGGGTATGTCTTTTACGATGACCACAAAGGAAATATAATACGATAAATATAAGATAAAATTTAATTGAAAGATAGTATAAAATTAAATGTTTGTTTAAAATGTTAATAGTATATAACATTAAAAACAAAATAAGACGATTTATGTGTACATAATATTATTATTGTGTAAATCTGCCAGCAAAAAGAATTAGTCCATTACTTTCCCTAAGGATAAAGATAAAGGGGTGATCAGCATTAAATTTGTAGTGTAAATCAAGAACAACCAGTGGCGGGAAGTGAAGCACACCTAAAAATATAATGCAAAAATTATTGTCTTTTAATAAAATGTAAGATCAAGTTTACTTATAGCAATACATTGGTTGCTTATTTAAAATGGTTATAACTAAAAAAATATAAATATTTGTAAACAACGGACAGCAGGAGTATGACGTCACGACTGTCACATTGTCATTATTATTTTCCAAACAAAAGTTGAAATGTCAAATCTCAAGAATTTTTAATTTAACATTTTGCTACCTCTGTTGCTTTTTCTTTTAGGTATAGTATTTTTACGATAATACCATCACAATTCAGAGTTCTATTTCTATGAAATATAGTTTAAAATTTTAAATTAAAGAAATTCTAACCTCACTTTATTGATACAAGCATTTTATTGCTATTATTATAAAACAATGTGCTTTATTATTTACACAACCTTGTAAAATTGTTGTAGTAACTGTGAGAAAACTTAAATATTGCAAAAAGCGAAAAGATTCTATAAAAAAAAAAACGAAAAAATAAACATTGTGAGTAAAATGAAAAATATGACCTTCTATTTGTCAATAGAAAGACAAAGGTCTTTATTATGGGTAAAATTTGGTTTTTCGCAAAGAAATGTTTTGCTTTTTCTAAATTATTTCACTTTTTTACCTTCTCAACACTAAATTTGTAAAGTAGGGGTTTCAATAAAATATAATTTAAAATATTTCTTTTTGTTTTGTATTTAACAGTGATATTGCTTTTAAGGAGACTTTTAAAATATGCTTAGACAAACATGTTACAAATCTCACATCTCGTTACAGGTAAAGCAGGTAGAAATACGTTGGATAGAAATAGAAAGGACATCAGCATAACAAAAAAACTACATCTTTGGAAGAAGCAGCATATATCGTTAGAAGCCCCTAACCAAAGAAAGATTTTTTATTTACTTTAACGTACATTAAGAAAATGTAAGTAGAACAATAAACAACAAATAAAATACAAAAACAACAAAAAAGCAAAAGACAAAACAAAAAATAAAAGAAGCAAAAAATAAAGCAAAAAAACAAGAAAACAAAATAAAAATATATCAAAACAAAATTTATGTATCCATAAAAATATTAGGTATATGAAATACTAACATTGATAACTGATTTTGAAAATTTTGACTATGAATCTGCAATCTATAATAATTAAAATTCAGTCGATTTTAACAATAAACACAAACAAGTCTGGTGCTAATTGGCTTTGTCAAAGTCATTTTTCAGAAAAAAACGTACAATCTGTTACATACAAATAAGTAACACTAAGCATTTTAGTTGAAAAAAACATAATATATAAGCAAGAGTTTTTTTCCAATGACTAATAACTAAAATTATCAAGAGGAGTTCTAAGGTTTAATTAATTTTGTTGTGTGGAGTTGTCCTATTAGTTTTCTCCTCGTTGGAGTAATTTTTCAGTCGTATAAAATATTTGTCACTGAATTTAACAATTATTTGCTTCACTATTTCGATTGTAAATATGTAATAATCAAATCCCTGTAAATGTCTGCATTTGGAATGAACCACGGCGCATCAATGATGACACAAAGAATCTTATATTGAAATTCCCTAGTATTGTTGTGTGCTGCATTTCACCTCAGTTCAATCTCGTATGTCCAGATGAGCAAGATGATTGCTTTATACACGAATGTTTTGTTAGATAATTACGATAGATCCGAGCCGAACAACCAATTGTGTTTTTTAAATTTGATTCCTTATTGCTTTCTCTTGATCTAAAGCTTTTTGATTTACCTCATACATGTTAAACCACTGAAAAATATTCTCAATCCTTTTGCGTCTCCGAGATTGATAATATACAAATTTTTAGTATGTTTATAATAACACAAATTGGTGTTTCATTTTATCTTGGGTCCTCCAGATATTACACGTTAATTAAAATATAAACATTTCCATTTAAGATGGTGGGTATATCTTCTTATTCTTCTTAAAGTCCCCTTTCCTTAATGGAGGTTGGCTACTACAATTTTAAACTCTTCTCTATCTTCAGCTGTTCTTATTAGCTGTTCAAAATTTAGCCCTGTCCATTGTTGCCCATTTATTGTGCAAGGTTGAGGTACGTTTTATATTTTTCGGATTGACATCGCTTTGGTTTTTTAATGTATATTTTCATACCAAATTGCTCACAGGTCGAGTTGGTCTTGTCGATGAGTCTTAAACCTAAGTCGGAATCCGCAATTAACACTGTATCATCGGCGTATCTGATACTGTTGATATATACGCCATTCACATTGACTCCATCCTTGGAATTTTCCAATGCTTCTTAAAATAAAAACTCGGAGTAAAGATTAAACAGCAGAGGCGACAGAACACATCCTTGTCACTCCCCTCCTAATTTCTACTTCTGTGGATGTGGAACCTTCGATTATAACTCTGGTGTTTTGGTTCCAGTACAAGTTTTTTAAGAATTTGATGTCTTTTCCATCTAAACCGACTTCTTGCAAACGTTCTAATAGTAGGTCGTGTCTTACTCATCAAATGCTTTTTCTAAGTCTATAAAGCATATAAATATATCTTTCTGTTGGTCGTAGCATTTTTGGGCGAGAACTAGTAAACTGAACAGGGCTTCTCTCGTTCCCATGCCGGCTCTGAATCCAAACTGATCGTCTCCGATGATTGTTTCGCACTTTCTATAGATACGATTATGTACGATTTTTAGTAGGACTTTTACTGCATGACTCATAAGGCTTATCAGACGGAACTCATTGCAGTGTTGTGGGTTTCGCTTTTTTAGTAGTGGGATGAATATTGACCCCAGCCAATCTTGGGGTATTTTACCTGTATCATAAATGCGATTGAATAAATGGAAAAATGTTTCGATATTTTCTTTGCTGATTAATTTTAACGTTTCTGGGTATATTCCGTCTGGACCTGGGCTTTTATTTGTTTCGAAATGATTAATTGCATTTATAATTTCAGATTTCAGAATTGTTGGCCCTTCGTTGTTATTTTCCAATCTTGGTTCTTCTCGTATGTTGTGAAAAAGAATTTTAATATAGTTTTCCCCATTCTTTCAGTTTATCTTCCGTTGATTCTAGCAGTTTGCCATCCGTGTTCAGTATGGTGTGAAAAGTCGTTCTCTTGGTAGTCGATGTAAACTCTTTTACCTTTTTATGAAAATTAAAAAAATCGTGCCTTTGTTGCAGTTCTACTATTTCAACGCATTTTGTTTCCAGCCATTTCTCTTTTGCTTCGGTTATTTTTTTTTCGAATTATTCTATTTAGTCTTTTGTATTTTCCGTCCTTGTCATTTTTTCCTTTAGATTCTCTTCGTTTGTTCATTTATTGTAAAATCTCTTCTGTCATCCATTTCTGTTTGTTATTTCTAGGTGTTACTTTTAGATGTTTTTCCGTTACATTGTTCATTTGTTCTTTAATAATTTTCCACATAACGTTTATATAATCGTACTCGCTAATTCTATTGTGGTCGATATTTCCTAAATTTTTGTTTAATTCTTTATTTTGTGTCTGATGTATGGTGTCGTTTTTCAATAATTGGATATCTATTAGTTGGTGTTGAGGTTTTTGTTTCTTTATTAGTTTCCATCTTGCGCGCACTTTTACAACAACAGGATTATGACCGAAATTTATGTCAGTTGCAGGATATGTTTTTGCACTGATGATTGCGTTGTGATATCTTTTGTTGACCAATATGTAATCTATTTGGTTACGGATTACTCTGTTTTCATTGTGTTGTGGTGAAGTCCAAGTGTACAATCTGCGAGGGTGTAATTTAAACCATATATTTGTCGCTACCATGTTGTGTTGTTGTCAGAATTCGGTCATTATCTCTCCCCTGTCATTGCTTGCTCCAAGTCCGAAGTCTCTGATCAATCCAGAAACTTTTCCTCTACCTAACTTAGCATTAAAGTCACCTAAGATAAATGTTGGGTCCCGTTTTTTGGTCATCTTTTATAAGTTTTTCTACGTTAGCATACCACGCTTCTAGCTATTCTATGGGTTTATCGGCCGTAGGGACATAAGTTTGAATGATGTTAATATTTATTATCCGGCTTTCCGGATAATTGAATTAGAAGACATCGGTCCGAAAATGACACAAACTTTGTGACGGCATTGTTTTTTTTGTCTTTTTAGAAGACATATTTGTCTTCTAAAATTACTCCAACCCCGTTACGATGAACCGGATCATTATTACCCGAGTAATAGAAAGTTTTGTTCATGGTTTTAACTTTACCTGAACCTGGCCATCTAACTTAACTCAAAGCCAATATCTGTAACGCTAAACGTTTCATTTCGTGGCATGCATTTGCTAGTTTTCCTGTTTCGAACAGACTTCTAACGTTCCATGTTGCAATCTTAAAGTTTGTATTTAAAATATTTAGGCTATTTCGCCCGGGGATTCTTCGCACCCCTTGATCATCTAAGATCTGCCGGGGACTAGGGACCATTTCTGTTTGTGCTTTCATTGTAGTTTTCTTGGGAAATATATACCAGAGTGGTTTCCCGTTGCCTTATCTGGTTTGTATTTTAGCCGATCCTCTGGACACAGATGCTATTTGCAGCCGCCCACTCTGGGTCAGACGCTGCGTGCTAGTTTGATCCCTACCACTTACCAACTCTTCTGCATGAAGAAGTTGGTCAGCAAGTGGGAGATCGCTTATACCGGCAATCGCTCGGTAAAATTTTCGCCATATCTGGCTACCCTCAGTTAGTTTAGCCTGCAGACAAATGCAGTTGCCCGGGGTGTGGCACGTGGAGCCATAAGTGAGAGTTAGCTGTCTTATGAGGACCAGTTATCAAGAACCATCTCCCGTCTATGACGCTCGATGTGGTCGTTCCGATAAAAGGTGCTACCTCTATAACACAACTCTACACCCCGGTTGGTATATATTGCAGGGAAGAGAATGATTTGTAAAAATGATATGACTACTCGATGGACCTCGGCCAAAGCAGTTGGTTTTATTGTTTGACTAGGGATTTTCTTCTTAAAGTTTGGGTTCGGGAAAGATAAGATCTCGGCATAAGAGTT